AGCCTCCAGCAAAGACAGACAGCAAATACTTCGAGGAGGGGCGGTAAAGTAAGGATTTATGCTGAACAGACTGGCCAGTATACATATTCAACTGTCTGTCGGAAGGGTTATGAATAGTCACAAAAGGCAGAAGCATGGATGCACGATAAGCAAACATGCATGTTACACGTGTCCCATGTTCACTTGGGGTGGAGACAACTTTTTTTTGTCTTTCTAAATCAATTTTTAAATTTAAAAAATAATTCCAGTAACTTTAGGTGATACAAATGGTTTTTGATTCCATAGATACATTGTATAGTGGTGAAGAAGTCTGGGCTTCTTGTCGCTCCCTCCCCCCCACAAGTGTGCAATGTTTCCAATAGGTGACTTTTCATCCCTTCCTCCCTCCCTTTCCATCCTTTGTCTTCTGATTCTCCATGTCAATCATACCATTCCGTATGCCTTTGCAGACCCTTAGCTTGTAAGTGAGACCTTGTAGTGTTTGATTTTCTGTTTCTGTGTTACTTCATTTAGGATGATGATCTCCAATTCCATCCAAGTTGCTGCAACAGACATTATTTCATCATTTTTAAAGGCTGAATAGTATTCCACTGTGTGTGTGTGTGTGTGTGTGTGTGTGTGTGTGTGTGTGTGTGTGTTTACCATAATTTTATTCTCCACTGATCAGTTGATGGGCATTGAGGTTGATTGCACATCTTTGCAACTGTGAATTGTGCTGTAATAAACATGCATGTGCAGGTATCTTTTTGTATAATGACCTCTACTTTTTTTGGTAGATACCAAGTAGAGGGATTGCTGGATTGAATAGTAGATCTACTGTTAGTTCTTTGAAAAATCTCCATAGCAATTTCCATACATGTTGTACTAATTTACACCCCCACCAACAGTGTATAGGCTTGTCCTTTTGGGCACATTTGCACTAACATCTACTGTTTTGGTTTTTTTATTGTTAAAATAATGGTGATTCTGACTGGTGTACAGTAGTGGTATCTCACTGTGGTTTTAAGTGGCATTTCCCTGACAATTAGTGATTTGGAACATTTTTCCATATGTTTGTTGGTCATTTATATATCTTCTTTTGAGAGATTTCAGTTCATGTTATTTTCCCACTTTTTAATGTGATTATTATTATTATTTTTTCTTGCTGATTTGTTTGAGTTTTCTGTAGATTCTGGATATTAGTCCTTTGCCAGATGTATAGTTTGTGAATATCTTCTCCCATTCTGCAGGTGGCCTATTTGCTCTGCTGATTATTTCTTTTCCTGTGCAGAAGCTTTTTAGTTTAATTAAGTCCCACTTGTTTATTTTTGTTTTTGTTGCATTTGCTTTTGGGGTCTTAGCCATATGTTCTTTGGGTAGGCCAATGTCCAGAAGAGTTTTTCCTAGGTTTTCTCCTAGAATTTTTATGATGTCAGGTCTGACATTTAAGTCTTAAATCCATCTTGAGTTAATTTGTGTATATGGTGAGAGATGGGGATTAAGTTTCATATTTCTGCATGTGGCTATTCAGTTTTCCAAGAATCATTTATTAAATAGCGTGCCAATTTAGGATGATGATTTCTAATTCCGCCCAAATTGCTGCAAGAGATAATATTTTATTCTTTTGTATGGCTGAATAGTATTCCATTATAATTTCCCCAGTGTATATTTTTGTCTGCTTTGTCGAAGAACAGTTGGTTGTAGGTATTTAGGGTCATTTCTGAATTCTCTATTCTGTTCCATTGGTCTTTGTATCCTCTATGCTCTTGTGCCTGTACCATGATGTTTTGATTACAATAGCCATGTAGTATAATTTGAAGTCAGGTAATGTGATGTCTACAGCTTTGTTCTTTTTGCTTAGGATTGCTTTGACTATTCTGGGTCTTTTTTGGTTCCATATGAATTTGATGTTGCTAGTTTGATAAGGATTGCACTGAATCTGTAGGTTACTTTGGGCAGTAAGTTCATTTTAACAATGTTGATTCTTCCAATCCATGAACATGGGATGCTTTTCTTTTGTGTCCTCTATGTTTTTTTTTAATCAGTGCTTTATAGTTCTCCTTATAGAGATTTTTCACTTCCTTGGTTAAACATATTCCTCAGTATTTTAATTTTTTAGCAGCCATTGTAAATGGTATTGGGTTCTTGATTTGAGTCTCATCTTGATCATTATTTGTCTATAGCAGTGCTACTGATTTGGGTGCATTGGCTTTGTAAACTGAAATTTTTCTGAATTAATTTATCAAGTCCAGAAGTATTTTCTAGGTATAATATTATATCGTCAGTAGATTTTTTTTTCTTCTTTTCCAATTTGGATACTCTTTATTTCTTTTTTGTGCCTGATTGACTTGGTTAGGATTTCCAATACTGTGCTAAATGGGAGTGGTGAAAATGGGCATCCTTGCCTTTTTCTAGTTCTGAGAGGGAATGCTTTCAGCTCTTCCCTACTCAGTATGATGTTGGTTGCAGGCTTTCCACATATGACTTTTATTACTGTGAGGAATTTTCTTTCTCTGTCTATTTTGCCAAGAGTTTTTATGAGTGGGTGCTGCATTTTATAAAATGCTTGTCTACATCTGTTGAAATGATCATATACTTTCTATTTTTAATTCAGTTTATGTGGTGGATCACATTTATTTGACTTGCATATGTTGAGCTATCTTTGTATCCCTGACATAAAGTCCACTTGATTGTGGTGGATTACTATTATTTTTTGATGTGCTATTGGATTCGATTTGTTAGTATTTTGTGGAGGATTTTTGCATCTATGCTCATCAGGGATATTCATTTGTAGTATTTTTTTGTTGCATATTTTCATGGCTTTGGTATAAAAAGGATACTTAGGCTTTGTAGAATGAGTTAGGGGAGAATTCCTTCCTTTTCAATCTTATGGAATAGCTTCAATAGGATTGGTACCAGTTCACTGAAAGTCTGATAGAATTTAGCTGTGAGTCTGTCAGGTCCTAGACTTACTGTGGTTTATCCAGGTGGGTTCAATATAAAAAAGTCCCCCCCCTTTTTTTGAGTTGGAGTCTCACTCTGTCATCCAGGCTGGAGTGCAGCAGCACAGTCACGGCCACCCCAGTGTAGACATGTTGGGCTCTGGCAATCTTTCTGCCTCAGCCTTCCAAGTAGCAGAAACTACAAGTGTGTGCTACCATGCCTGGCTAATATTTTAAAATTGTTTACTGTAGAGACGAAGTCTTGCCAAGTTCCCCAGGCTGGTCTCAAACCCGTGGGCTCAGGCAATCCACTCGCCTTGGCCTCCCAGAGTACTGGGATTATAGGCTGAGACACCGAGCCCAGCCATAGGATCACCTTTTTTTATAGTGAAAGAGAGAAGGTTGCAGGCATCAGGGAGGGAGGAGAAGATATGAGGACAAAAGCAGAACACAGAGGGAGTTCAGAAGATGCAGAAAAAGGACATGGAAGGATGCAGGTGGCCTTTAGAAGGGGGAAAAGGAGAGGAAATGAACTCTCCCCTGGAGTCTCCATAAGGAACACAGCTCTGTGGGCATGTCGGTTAGAGTTTTTCATACCACATAGTTTGTGGTAATTTGTCATAGCATCAACAGGAAACTAACACAAGTGGCGTCACCTGGTCTGATCTGACATTGTGTGCATGTGGGATAAGGAGTTGTTTAGAGTAAATCTCGATAAGGAACATGGCAGGTTGGTTTTCTTTCTTCTCACCTCATGACAACAACACTGGGCAATGGCAAGCATCATCAGGAACTGTGGTTCTGTGCTTTAATGCATGGACTGGTTTGATTAGGCACTTGATTTGAGTGAACATACATGAACTCATCACTCTTCCAGGGGCCCTCAAGGAGGGACTGAGCATGGCTGGCCCAGGTGTGTGGAGGAGGCTGCAGGTGAGGCAGAGTTGGGAGGGGGACCTGTGGACTAGGTTGTGGAGGAGACACGTCTTGTCAACTTGGGATCCTATGTGAACTTTAGGTGGGGTAGCCCTGGACCTCTAACCACTTGTGTGTAAAGGAGGCTTGTTTAGTGAGATCCACATCAGGGACAAAGCAGAAACTGAGAGGAAATGAGGACACAGGGTCCCAGGCAGTGCCTTGGAGGACCTGGCTCCAGGCCTGAATCTGGGACTGTACCTACCTGGGTTATTCTGACATCCTCTCTCTGTGTCCCTCCAGGGGTTAGGATGTCCTGAGTGCTGATCGCTGGGACAGAGGAAAACCTAGTGGACAGGACTAAGCACCAAGGATCATGGGTTTGAGGACAAACAAGTTCACTTGTAGAGGCCAGTAATCAGACAAGGCCACAAGGGCCTGGGTGAAGAAAGCAGGAGGGCTCAGGACACAGGGAGATGAGTGGGGGCCACACCCATGACTGCACCACCCATGGGTGCTCCTTCTTTGCTCACCTTTGTGTGGACATCAGATGGCCCCACCTCTGTGCTCCTGAGACCCAAAGTACATCCACAGATGGCAAATGGCCATGGTCCCTTAGATGGTGTGAGGATGGCTAAGCTCTGCCGGCTGGGCAAGGCTCCTTGGAATCTTTCCTTTCCTGTGTTTTAGTTAATTCCACCTCAGCTTCCAATCCATGACTCCTGTCTCCCAGGGAAAAGGGACTGAGGTTGAGATAATGTAGAGATAATGCATTCCCTGTGTGATTGAGGAGAAAATGGACATGGGATTTCAGGTGAGCTTCTGCTAAATTCTCATGAGCAGAAAAAGAGCCAACAAGGGGAGGATCCTTTTTATTCAGGTCCCTTCCAAGTGATCCACAGTGGCCACAGGCTCCTTCACTTTCCCTGGAAGCCCCCACTTTCTGTGGTGACAGGAGGCCATTGTCCTGACCATCCAGAGCTCAGGGAAGCCTGACTGGGTCTCCAGACATCCAGAACGGACCCTCCACCTTGGGTCCAGGTCCCAGAGTCTCCTCAGGGCTCAGAGCTGAATCTCTGGGTCAGGCTCCATGTCTCGCCCCTTTCTCAAGGTTGGGGTTTTAGGGGACCCTCTGCCTTCCAAAGAAGCAGTTCTTGGAAGAAACTAAGAGGCCGCATCTCCTCTGTGGTCAATCTGGCAGTAAATGTTTGCATCAGGATTTAGAAGCTCCTGTAAAAATAGAAAAGAAGTCTCTGATGCCTGTAGCCTTTTCACAACAGGATCCACTGTGGGTGAAACAGACGTTGGGTCACCTTGGGGTTGTGGGACCACAACATTCATCACTCACACTCACCTCATAGATGGGAACAGCTGTCCTGGGGCCAGGTAGGGAGGCCTTAACAGAAGAGAAAGAGGAGATGTCAGTGGATAGAAAGGGAGGGTCACCGAGGTTGAAGGCCAGGACTTACTTCACCCTTGCACTGGCAGCATGTCCTGGAATGTCTTTTATGTCCCTTGCCAAGGTGAGTGAAAGGAAAGGATACGTTCAGTTATTTCCCTTCAGGAGTGACCAGTTCTGCTTCTCAAGCTCAGCCTTCCAGTCTGACATAACATCCCAATCCCTGTCCTGGCTGTACCCAACCCATACCCTTGTATACCCTGATTCTCTGGGACCTGGCTTGATGCTCCCAGAGTCTCCTCAGGTGATGGAAGTTTCCAGAGTAGGGTTAGGACAGGGAATGGGTGGTTCTGCCTTTGAAGAAAGGCCCACCTGTTAGCCAGGTTCAGGCCGACCTCATCCTGGGTGTCCTGGGGTAAGGTAGGTCTGTGCTGTACTGGTGAGTTGACAGTGGCCCTGTCCTAAGCCTACATAGCTGAGACCCTCTTGAGAAGGGCCCAGGGAGGGGGTGTGCTTACCAAGGAGGTGGAGCTGTTGGAGGGAGCACGGCCTGGAGGACAGAGATAGGAGTTAGCACAATGGTGTGAAGAAGGCCCGGGTCCCTCCTCCAAGAGGGCATAGGGTCTTCAGCTCCCAGAGAATCAGGGTAGAGGGAGCATCTTCTGGGGAGAGACTCTTCAACCATTTTAGGGGACAAGTGAGCAACTGAGGTTGATGAGGTGACCGCTGACCCAGAGCCCATAGGTCAGGCTTGACATGGCCAGTTGAAGTCTCCTGTCCTGAGCTCTATGGTATTCCTCCTTGGAGCCCCAGGGAAAAGGTCAGAGGTCCCAGGAGGAATGACTCACAGGGATGGACATTTGTGGGACAGGCCTAGGGGATCCCAGACACATTGAGAGTGGGTGATGAGGTACTCACCAGGGGTGGACACCGGGGGTCGCTGCTCCCTGAGATCATTCTGGACACTGGTTCTAGGAAAGGACGTGTTTATATAAAAGGGTGCATTGAGAAATCATTGGTTTAGGGTTGGAATGGAGGACAAAGAATGATCCCTGATTTTAAGGAATGGAGTGGGATCTCTCTGAGTCAGTTCTGTTGTAGGAGGAGGTTCCAGAAGAGGGAAACCACATCTTGGCCCAGAGGGAAAGGACTTTTAGGCAGATGGAGGCTGAGGTGAGGGTTTGATTGAGTGGAAGGATCAAGCCATGAGAGAGAAAGCAGGGCAGCCATGTGTGCAGGACACTGGAGGGGCTGCATGTATCTTGGATTCTCCCTGAACTTGGTGTCTTTGTCATTGACAAACCTTCCACTCAGGCCTGGAGATGCTTAACTATGACAATTGCCTTATCCTTTCCTTCCACTCACCTTGGCAAGGAACATGGAAAACATTCTAGGACATGCTGCCAGTGCAAGGCCCAGACTCTCCATTTCACACATCAAGGGCCACGGTTACTGCAACAGACTTAGGGGCACCACTGACCCCACCCAGCCTGTCCAGGCTCTTCCTCTTTCCGCTGTGTGACCACCTCTCAGCTCCCAAGCCTGGTAATCCCTTCTCACTGGGTGGGTGGAATTCAATACCCAGCAAGAGGCAGCTGGAGGTTTGCTATGTGAAGGAACTAGGACAATACTCAGGGGAGTCCTCAGTTGTGCCTAATTTATAGAGGAGGAAGCTGTTGAGGAATCTCAGGGTCAGAGGCTGGTGCAGAAGGAGCCATGGAAAGAGAGAGGAGGACCCGTGGGGAGTCAGGAGGTAGAGGAGATCCCGGCCCCTTGCTCCCAACTAGTGTCAGCCTGGGGGATGAGATGAGGATGGAAAAAACCTGGTACCTTCCAGTCCTTGTAAGGAACAGGAAACACACCACAGCAGCCATCAAAGCCACCCCAAGCAGGACCCCAGTCACGATACCAGCAACAGCTCCCACAGGAAGGACTGAGGCAATTTTTTGTGCTGAAAGGAGAAGAGAAAGTGGATGAAAGGCCAGGCCTATTCCAAAGGAAACCACAAGGGACCTTGTGGGGAAGGGGCACGATTAGGGAGGAAGGAAATGCCACCAAGCTAAATGTGGTCTGTTGTGTTGTCTTCATAACTGACTCTCACTCTCAGTGGTTGCATCATTTTCTGTCTCCCAGGCTTGAAGCTGTGGACCTGCTCTGTCTCTCATGTTTTCCACATGTATACTGGACCCCATCCTGCTCATTTGCCTTTTCATATCCCCCTTCCTTTCATGTCATGCCTCTTCCTCCTGTTTCTTCTTCATCATGTGACAGTCTTCGAGGGCAGGCCCTTTCCAGTCAACTTAGCACTAATTAGTAGTCATAACACCATTAACTGTTTTCAGAAGACTTCTAAGTGCCAGACCCAACAGGAAATAATTTTCCTACACCTCATCTGACTCTTATCACCTTAAGGTGTCACCGCCATCTGCAGATTGAGAATCTGAGGTGTTTAGTGCTTTAATACGTCAAGGAAGTTTACAGAGTTGGTCAATGATACGACCAAATTTTGAGGGCAGGCACCTTGGAGATGAAGTGGAACACCCAGATCTACAGAGAATCTCTGAAGGTAGGAATAGAAAGATGACCATGATGGCTGTTGAGACACAGGCAATATGCACCCCCTCCACAGAGAGGAACCAGAATATTAACTAGATACATTCTGAGCAGATCATCTAAGAGAATACTAGAATTCACCAGGAAAGAGACATAAGCATCAGAAGTCAGTAGGAAGAAGGTTCAAGGCAGCTTGCTTGGCCTGGAACTGACAGACCTGGGAGAGAGTCCTTGACATAGGAAAATAGTAAGAGGAAAATATTCAGAGCTCCACACTCCAAAACATACTTTTATGATCTTGGCTACAGAAGAAGTCCTTGGCCCACTAGGGCCTTGGAACTGACATGTGTAGCTGCCCAAAGATTGCTTAGAGACACTGCTGCAGAAAAGGAACCCACATGGAATTCCACAGGCATTTGAACATAGAGCAGCCTCAATTGGGCACCATTTTGAGAGCCTGGACACTGCAGATCTAAAGACAGAGGTGTTGCTGCTGCACTGCTCCAAGGAGAAAGAAGGGTGTCTAGGGTGCTCCCACATACTCCTAGGTGGGTCCCTTCTGCCCTGTTGTGGGCTGCTGTTGAGCTGAGATGTGAGCAGATCACACTACGCACAGTTTCTTGCTGACACGACTTGCCTGGAGGCACTCTGATCTCCCTGGTCCCAAGTCCAAGATGCCATTTTGAGAGTTTAATGCTGAGTTGTTTCCCACCCTCAGGCTGAGTTTGGTCAGATGTGGCTGCAGCTGTCATTCAGTCAAGGAAGGACAGGACAACCAGCTTCTCCTGCACATACCTAGGATAATACCACTCTGCTGTGGACTGATATGAGACCAAGACACAAGTGGACTTCACTTCCCACAGCTTCTTGCCCATGCTGCTCACCTCAGAGGGGCCTTACCCTCTCTGTCCGTAAGCCCATAGCTGGTACTATTTTGAGAGTTTAAGGCCTGGGCCAAGTTTTAGGTGATATAGTGACAGTTGCTACCTAGCTGGGGAAGGCATGAGGAGACCAAGCACTCCAAAGCACACTTAGGACAATATCCAACACCCTGCCACAGGTGTCTGTGGGACTGGGGACTAGCCCACCCAAACCATCACAGCTGCCAGAAGAACTAATACAGACTGCCGGGGTTCCAGTGGGTTGCACCATCACTATTACTGCCATCACCCACACCACATCAACTTCCCATGGACTTGAGAACCTATCCATATACCTGGCCCTCTGCTTCCATTACTAGCTTCTAAGAAAGCCACCTGGAGGCCCAAGAATCAACCTTGCAGGACCCACTAGCACCAGAGTCAGTGTAAGTGGTCCTGGAGCCTAAAAACAAGTACACTCACCCCATTGGTGCCACCACTGAGGCCGGAAGACTGGCTTAGTTAGCATCCAAGTTCCCAGCAAAACTTCACCACAACCTCAGCTGATAACTGTACAATGGCGTCTTATACATGGAAGCAAAAACTTTCTATTCACTCTCACAAAACCACAGAGAAATATGAAACTTACAGTTCTTATAAAGCAATCACATAGAGTAGGAAGAGAAAAGAATAAAATGGCAACACGGAAGAGTGTCATCAGAACACAAAGACAGAGAAACAGAAAGAAACAAAAAGTTTACAAAACAACTTGAAAATAATTAACAATATGACAGGAACAGAACCTCACATGTCAATATTAACCTTGAATATAAATGGATTAAGTGCTTCACTTAAAAGATATAGCTTTTCAGAATGGAAAAAATGCAAAATTTAACTATATGCTGCCTGCAAGAAACTCACTTTACCTACAAATACACATATAGACTGAATGTAAAAGGAGGAAAAAGATATTCCACACAGATGGAAACCAAAAGAGAGAAGGAGTAGCTATACTTATATCACATAAAAGAGACAAAGTAGGTATTATATAATTATAAATGGATAAATTCAGCAAGAGGATATAACAATGCTAAATATATATGTACCCATTACTGGAGCAAACAAATTCAAAAAAGCAAATGTTGCTAGACTTCAAGCAAGAGATATTTAGCAATATAATAATAATATGGGACTTCAACACCCTACTGACAGCACTAGATAGATCATCAAAAGAGAAAACTGCTGGGCATAGTGGGTAATCCCAGCAATTTGGGAGACTGAGGTGAGAGGATTGCTTGAGCTCAGGAGTTTGAGACCAGCCTGGGCAACTTGGTGAGACCTCATCTCTACCAAAAAAAAAAAAAAAACAGGCATTGTGGTGCATGCCTACAGTTCCAGCTACTTGGGAGGCTGAGGCAGAAGGATTGCCTGAACCCAGCAGGTCGAGGTTGCGGTGACTGGGAGCATGCCACTGCTCTCCAGCCTGGGCGACAGAGTGAACCCCCAAACTTAAAAAAAAAGATAGAGAAAATTAACAACAACAAAAAAATTGAACTTAAATTAGACTTTAAACAAAAAGGACTTAACAGACATTTACAGAACATTTAACCCCCAAACTATAGAATATACATACTTTTCATCAGCAGATGGAACATTCTTGAAGATAGACCATGTTAGGTAATAAAACAAGACTTTAAAAAAATTTAAAAACCAAATCACATCATGTATTTTCTCAGACCACAATGGCATACAGCTGGAAATCAATACCGAGAGGAACTTCAGAAACTATAAAAAATATATACAAGTTGAACAGATCACTAGGCCTACAAAGAATTTCAAAAATAAATTAAAAATTTATTTTAAAAAATGAAAATGAAAACACTACATGTCAAAGCCTATGAGATACAGCAAAAACAGTGTTACAAGGGAAGAATAGCATTAAATGCTTACGTCAAAAAAGTAGAAAGATCACAAATTAACAAGCTTGTGTCACACCTCAAGAAACTAGAAAGACAATAACGAACTAAACTCAAAGTTAGCACAAGAAAAAAAATAACAAAGATCAGGCAGAACAAAATGAAATAGAGGCCAAAAGACAATACAAAGGATCAACGAAATGAAATATTGATTCTTTGAAAGATAAAGAAGATTGAAAACTACTAGCTAGACTAACCAAGAAAAGAGAAGATTAAAAAAATACAACTAGAAATGAAAAAGGAGACATCATTACAGATAGCACAGAAATACCTAAACACATCAGAGTGTATTATGGACAACTATGTGCTAACAAACTAGAACACCTAGAGGAAATAGATAAATTCCTGGAAACATACAACTTCCCAAGATTGAATCAGGAAGAAACAGAACTCCTGAACAGACTAGTAATGTGTAGCTAGATTGAATCAGTGATAAAAAAAAATTCTCAGCAACAACAGCAACAACAACAACAGCAACAAAAAAGATCAAGGTCAGATGAATTCACAGCTAGATTCTACCAAACATATAAAGAAGAGCAAATACTAATCCTCTTCAAACTGTTTTAAAACATCAAGGAGCAAATTCTTCCTAAGTCTTTCTAAGAGGCCGGTATCACGCTGCTACCAAAATGAAACAAGGATACAACAAAAAAAGAAAACTACAGATCAGTATTTCTGATGAACATAGATGCAAAAGCCCTCAACAATGTTTTAACAAAATGAATCTAACAACACCTCAAAAAGATAAAACACCACGATCAGGTGGAATTTATCCCATAGACGCAAGGATGGTTCAACATATGCAAATCAATAGATGTGATACATCACATGAACAGAATGAAGGACAAAAGCCATATGATCAACCAATAGATGCAGAAAAAGTATTGGATAAAATTCAGCATCCCTTCATGACAAATATTTTCAACAAATTAGGCATAAGAGAAGCATATCTCAACATAATAAAAGCAATGTACAACAAACCCACAGTCACGATCATACTTAAAAGAGAAAAGTTGAAAGCATTCCCTCTAAGAACTGGAACAATACAAGAATGCCCACTTTCACCACTCTTATTCAATAAAGTACTGGAAGTCATCACAAGAGCAATTAAGCAAGAGAAAAAAAAAGGCATCCAAATTGGAAAAGAGGAAATCAAATTATCTCTATTTGCTGATGATGTGAACCTATACCTAGAAAACTCTAAGGACTTCACCAAAAACTCTTAGATTTGTAAGTGAATTCAGTAAAATTTCAGGATGCAAAATTAACATATAGAAATCAGTAGTGAGCTGGGCTCGGTGGCTCAGCCTGTAATCCCGTGCCTTTGGGAGGCTGAGGTGAGTGGATTGCCTGAACCCGCGGGTTCGAGACCCGCCTGGGCAGCGAGACCTCATCTCTACAATAAATCAAAAAATCAGCCGGGCATAGTAGCGCATGCCTGTAATTCCAGCTACTTGGAAGGCTGAGGCGGAAGGATCGCTGGAGCCCAGCAGGTTGAGGCTGCGGTGGCCAGGAGTGGCCACTGCACTCCAGTCTGGGGGACAGAGTGAGACCCCAACTCA